AAAAAAAAATATAAAAATAACAAAAAAAAAAAAAAAAACAACCACAAAAAAAACCACAAACAAAAAACATAATAGCGGATTGCCGTAGGAGATCTTTCATTAAGATGGTGTGGAGCAATTGAGTTTTGAAGACCAATTTTTAAGATTTAAAACAAGAAGGGACAAATTCTCTGAGAGAGAACTTAAGTAGGAATGTGACATTTTCACGACACAGATTGGCTTCGATTTGGGATGGCCATCTTTAGCTCGGAGTGCCTGTCCGTTTCCAGGGGATACCGTTGCCGAGGAGCGCCATAGCAACAGTCTCCAGGGAGTCTTATCCATCATTCCTTAGTTGTTTTAGGGACCAAAAGACCAAACATTTTTATTGCTGAGGACTTGTAGCTCTAATATACTCGGACCACTGCATCTCTGTCAGCCAGCGTGGCTGGGGAGTTGCACTTAAAAGAAGTGTACATTACGAATATATACAACACATGTATATATACATATATATTGCTGATATGCTTTTTGAATACAGGCAAAACTATTTCAGATGACCAAATGGGGTCTCTCACTTCGCTAGTTTACAATTACTCAAAATGTTTATTTTTTTCTCTTCTCATTTTGTCTCGGGAGGGATGGCGAGTGCATGGGAGGGGCTGCTCTGTATCACAGCCTTATCTTTTTTAACTTGACATCCTAACCTCATAGATAGAATAACATCAGAAATGTTTGAAATATATGAACTTGTTTATATTTGCAGTACATATATATGTATAACAGGCATTCAAGCAAATGTATTCATATATACAGTATATATGGATAAATAGATATTAATCACAAATATATGTATTTATATGCACATATTTTATATATGTGTGTCTGTATATAGAACGGCTACTGACTATGTTGAGCTGTAATTTTTTTGTAGATTTTAGCTGGAGTTTGAAGCATTGCTCTGCTTGGGAAGAATCGCAAATCTGGCAGCTCCCAAAACTGCAGGCATTCCTTTCTCTGATTACCTATATGCTGACACACAATATATTGCTAAAAAGATTCATGTGTGATGAAACACATATGGTGTACATATTATCTGAAAATGCAAAAAGCCAATCTCAGTAGCAGGCTTTAAGAGAATCAGGCTAGATGATTTTAGAGGAAAAGGACAATTATCTTCGACTCTATTCCAAACATATCTTTTGAGCTTACACACACACACACACACGCACACATGCATACACACACAAACTTCTCTTTGAAACTTGAACCAAAATGAAAATGTCTCACAACCCTTGCTCTCTTTTGCATTCAGTAAAGTGCATGTAGCGTATGGGCTGTCACCATGTCAAGGTGTGCCTTGTCACCTGCAGAATCTGCCATCAAGCACTGTGCTCTCAGAAAACAAAGAAAAAAAAACTGAACACACACACACTACTGCAAGTAGCCAGCGCGCTATTATGATGTCAAAACTACAGCCTGATCCATATCATTTTTTCAGCTGCGTAGAGAGCTTCAGTGCATGTCAAATATAACAAAAATTGTCCAAGCACTGTTGGTCCATCATTGTCTTTTGGGGGGGGGGGGGAAGCATTTAGGTCTAATGTAGATTCATGCGATACCACTTCAAACTTCAAACAAAAGCGGGCATTAGGTAACCTTCTAGCACAGGCACTAACTTTTCAAGTTGTGTGCAAGGCACCTGAGACTAAGTTCCACTAGTTGGAAGGTAATAAAGGGTAAAAATCAGGGCTGAAATGGGCACGATGTGGCTTGATAAGGGATGCGACTGAGCTTACTGGACCGAGGAGGAGGATTTTAACCCTCTCAAGGCAGGCGTTGCAGATTTGTAACAGTTAAAAGCTAACAACCTGATTACCCCACATACATATTTTATGAGGTATTTTTACTCAGAAGTACCACTGCAGGTATTCTTTTGTGCATTAGCAACAAAAACTTAGTTTGAGCCTGAGAGGGTTAATGGCTGTGAAGGAGATGTGATATTGATGAATATGTCATAGAGCTGGCTTCCCTTTGAACAGAAAAAAAAGGATTTATACTTGACATGAAGCATATCTTTTAGAAATTGTTATATTGCCTTATGTTAAGTCTTCATGCAATTATATATATATATTATATATATATATATATATTATATATATATATATATAATAATATATATATAATTATAATATATATATATATTATATTTATATACATAAAGATAAAAGCTCTAATGAAACTGTAAAATGAAGCAATAAGTGTGAAAAACCATTTACCCATTACGCCTGCTGTATCACCGAGGCTGGTTTCATATTGCTTTAGCGTACAGTTTCTCATAATAGTCTACAAAAATGGTATAAACACCTACTATAAACCTGAAAAAGGTCAACAGACTTGGATTTATTAGACCCTGCATTCAACACTTATTGAGCTGGTGGAGATTACTCAATGAATATTTATATATATGAATATTTATAAGGCTATATGACACTTTGGAAGACAATGCTTCCTGTTGGGTGCTGTTACTAGTTTTCCTATAAACTGCTCATTATGCCATTTCCCCAGTGTCTCTGTTTAACCTTTTTAGCAGTTTGAATAATTTAACATTTACCTTCCAAATCCAGTGAGTCTAAAAGACACCAGTGCACATCCCAGAATGCCTCTGTTTGTGCGTGTGCCACTTAACAATCTCCTGAGCGTGGCATACAGTTAAACCAGATGACCATCGAGATCTCTTTTTTTGTTCTTTTCTTCCACTAACTTTGGTGGATTAGTACGAAACCTCTAGCTCATCAACCTGACCTGTCTCTGTCTAACAATAACATCCGAGGCAAAATATCATATGTCTGGTGTCCCTGATCGCAGCACTGTGTGCCCTTTTTTGACTGCCCCGCTGCTCTGAGAAAATTAGAAAGAAAAAAACTGCCATCACAGTCTGTGCTTCTCGTATGATTTGTTTGAGCAATCAGTCATTTTTTTCCCACGGCGAACGAAGTAAGCAGACGCAGAAAGATGTGCGAGAACTCAAATGCCAACCACCTCATCTTCATTTGCTCCAACTTTAAGCTGCAAGTTTACATGAGAAAAGTGAAAAACAAAGTTTAGTGGTTCAAAAACAAGAAACAGAGGAAGTTTGAATATAAATATATATATATAAATATATACATAAACTGATGAATATACTGTAAATTGTTTCTTTTTTTGCTCTGTTTTCCTCTGTACATAGGTTTGCATATTTTATAGGACTTTTACTTCTATCTACAAGGACTGGATAAAGTAATTTAAATACTTAAAAAAAATATATGAATGAAAACATGATAATGCTCATTAAAACCAGGTACAAAAAAAAATATTCGCTAGGATACGGTACAAACTGTAGGACCTGACCAAGGCATTTATCCAGAATACAGTCAGGGAGAGCATTGACCTCAGTTAGAGCTTAGACACACATTGACCTATTTTATAAAAAAACAAACAAAAAAGAAATACTTTAATGGGTTCTATTCATTTATCTGTTTGTTTAGATATTTATTTATAAGTCATGTCTGAAATGATAAGCATGCTTTCATGGCATTATTTTTTTATGAGTTGGTACGTGACCAAATAGTTTTTATATGACATGCATGGGCCACTGTTGTGGTCCACAGATGATCATTGTTCCTGTCTGCAGGACCATGCCTTCAGAACTTCTTTGATGACGGAGAAAAACGCTCCTTTTGACCAAGTGATGTCAAAGACAGATTTGAATTATTTATTTCATTGTCTGTTTATTTATTTGTTTATTTATTTGTGCTGTTTGAGCCAAGATCTGAGCTCTCATTACTGACACTGATCTGTTTTCTTGCAAGCGTTAACCTTGAATCGCGACACATCTTACCGCTCAAGTATTGGAAGTTTAACCACTACTAAGACTGCTTCTATATTTTTCCTGTGGCTTGCAAACTACTCACAACAATGCAGTACAACACTAAAGCCTTATGTATATTTGTAATTATAAATGCATACTGTTCTGTTCATTTAAAAAAAAAAAAAAAAGGAAAAGCTTTGTTAAAAGATCGTTTCAAAATAAGATGCCACCGTTAAGCAAAGTGGGGGAAATAGTAATCCCTAGTTAAACACATCTTAAATCAACTGTTCAATCAGAAGAGACGCCTTGAGGTCAGTATAAGTTGCTGCTAATATTTAATGAACTAATGTCTGGTTTATTGTAAACAACTTTTGAAAACTGTATTCCCTTCCTATTCTCCCCATTGTGCTTCATTTTGTTCAACAGAGCTCTGATCTTGTTCAACTCACGTGTTCTACCGAGAACTAAATTCAATGAAAACTGCACTATTTCATCCAAAAGAAATTTGAGTTCCTATCATTTTTTTTTTCGGTGCTGTTATCAGTGATTTTTATTTCTAAAGCTCAGTAGTGTTGCTAGAATCACATTTTACTTCATGTGGTTTTCAAAGTGTTCTGGAAATCTATTTCCCAATTTCAGCACATATGGAGGGGGGTGATGAATGTTGCATATTAAGCTTTGCCAGGTTCCTGATGAGCCAAGCTTCTGATGGGCAGCACGCTTTAGGCTCCCGCCCCCGTCTCTCCAGACTGCACCATTCTCTGGTCCCCTGGACTCTTCTTTTGTAATTCTAAATGAATGATGCGTCTCAGCTTAGCCCAATAATAAAGCACAGTCTAGAATAAAATACTCTGTGTTGTGTCATAATTACTGCTGATTGGTAACTTCTTGATATAAGATTCCCCTGGTTACTTTGGGGTTTACACAATGGCACCAGCTGTCTGCTACAGGATAGTTGTCACATGTGTATGGAACCGACTATGTATAATATTTCCAGTAAATCAGAGATTTATAAAATTTGCATCCTTTAGCCAGATGCACAGTGGAAAATTATGTCATATTGGCAATTTTTTACAAACGAGGCTTGAAAAATAAACATTTATTAGTATTTTAAAAAAAATTCTACCAATATCACAATCTATGCACACCGTGTGACATTGATTCTGATTTTAGAAAGCCAATAAAAAGTTAAATGAAAAACATTTATTTAAAAAAAAAAAAAATGGACAGCTGGTAAATATCCAGTGACTGAATCTTTTTCATGCTCCTCATTTTTTTCGTCAGCAAATGAAGAAAATATCTTCTAGTATTTTGCTTTCTTCCAGGTCTTGCTGAGTGCTCTGAGGACGAGGTCCACCAGGGGTAAGCATGGTTCGGCTCACTGATTTGGGGGCAGTATGAGCCGGTCTGTGTTGCAATGCTCTGGCTCTTTGAGTGGTTGTCTTGCATTGCTCAGGTGCAGAAACAGGACTAAAGATATCCAATAACTCAACCAGAGAAAAGTCCAACCTGAAAAAAAAGAAAAACTTTAGGTTAGGTTTCTAGCCCCCGCCCCCCCATTTTGCTTTTTTAGCCTCCACAGCTTGTTTCAAAGGTTGAATTGACACAGGCTACATTTATGAGCCCTGTACAGAGGAGACACTTTAAATGAGCTTTCTCACTGTGGTTTCATTGTAGCAGAGGAATGCACACAGAAAGCCTGCCAGTTACATTCTGCTTAACTATGAGGGCACATAAACAGAGCAAGCTGAGAGACTGACATCACAAATGTACAAAGCAACATCCAGTTAGAGCTAAAAACAAAGCAAAAAAAAAAAAAACACTTGGGTGAGAGTTTTGCTTTCTTGTGGTCTGTGTTAACAACTGAAAGGTGAACAACAAATATTTTCATACAAGTGTTAACAAATCTTTCTTGGTGAAGTGCCTACTGAACCCTAACAAGCAGCGTTAACAAGTCGAAACCACTGGGGCGTCCCAGCAGAAAAACACAGTTTCTTGCAGGTGTGAGAGAACAAGGGGGAGAGAACCCAGTGCCTTCTCCCCTGGAATAGAAATGAGGGGAATGTGCGGTGAAATAAATAAACCAAAACAGGGGAGATTAAGCTAATAGAGATTCAATCCCTCAGTCTGGCTGGTTTGATAAATTATTCAGTGTATACACAGTCGAACGACGGCCATTCCAGATACAAAACATGAATTCTTTAAAGCACGCTCGACTGATGTTGCTAACATAATTCTCTGCTCGTTTAAAGCCGCATCGATTTGCATTGCGCGGCTCTGCACACAGCTCTCCCAGGTAAGGCCGATCCTTGGGATGTACTTGTTGATATGCATGCGGGTGGTCAGCACACAGACGCAGTGGTGAAACTTCCAATCAGGGTGCATTTATGTTCCTCAACACGTAACTATGGACCTTGATATGTCATGTTTTCAAACTAACTTCAGGCTTCACATATCAATAGCCGAAAAGGCTTTTAAAGGGCTATATTTTGCTTTAGCAACATGAATTCATGTATGTACATGTTTGAGCAAAGGGATTTGATTGGGAGAAGAAAAAAAAAAAAAAACAAGAAAAGAAGCTCAACTAAGTAAATCTGTCTTCCTCATTTGGTCTCCTGCCTGTCAACAGCAAAGGAGAAAAGAGGAGAAAGTCTGAGAGCATGAGTGAGAAGGAGTGTGTATGTGCCCGCTTGTAAGAGAGAGTCTGGAAATGACTGCTGCTTTGTGGATAGAGATGGAGGCAGAGAGGGAATGTGGGGGAGGGACTTTGGCTGGGTTGCTTCGCTCGAAATGTGAGAATTTGCATTTTTATTTGTTGATTTATTTAACGGACAGGGCTCTCAAACAGCCATCCATCAACAAACGACATGTTGGTAATGAATAATGCATCACTTACCGGCGGTCACAATCTATAACAAGGGTAGTGCGGGGGGTAGGGGGTATAGTTTGGGCAGCAGTATTGGGGGGTGGCAATGGGTAGGGCGAGGGAGGGCTGCTGGCACAGAGATTGCATGAAGGCCAAAGAGAAGAATGCCAATAGATTTTCAGAGGGGGTATACGGTGCGACAAAGAACTTCATTTCTTGGCTCCAGTTTGCATGAAGTAAAGTTGTGAATTGATGATGGATATTTATATCTCCCAAGGGAGTCCTGGCAGAATCATTTTTACTGTGTGCTTACAGATAAAATACATGGACAGCAGTAGCAGCAACACACGTTTCTGTCACTGTTTTTTTTTTAAAAAGAGAAAAATAAGGTCTTGGACCTGGAATGTCGGGTCATTTTGAGAGCATCTGAAGACATCACGTTGTCAACATAAAGCATTTAGTACTTTTATCCTTAGGACAGGAAATGTAACAGAAAGGAGACTCGGACAAAGTTTAATCTTGATTTTGAAATTTAAAAACGTGTTATAATGACTACTGTGAAACAGTAGATGTGCGCTGCTCTGCTTTCAAATACTTTTTAAATGCTTCAAACTCATACACCAAGAAGTCTTCAGAGTACAATAAAAATATAAAAATAAAAAATAAAAAACACAACTACTGGACTTTATTTTCCCCAATTTATCAGTTACAGAGCTTCTGTTTCTCTTTTCTAGCTCCATGAGGCCAGATAAAAATTTTCAAAAAACTTCTTCAGCATATGCTACTCACCACCTCCTTCCCACTCATAACTTTCACTGCTTGTTTGGCTTTTCTCTTTCATTAAAGATAGCCGTCTCGCCCCGGCGCCTCTTTTCATTTGCAGTCCAAACAGTAAGATAAAAAACCTATAATGGCCACTGTGTATATCCCGCATGTCAATTTCCCAGCCAATCAATAGCAGGCGGGCAATGGCAGGAAGGATCAAGATGAGATGGGCGGCGTGCGCTGGAACTGTCTCATTACTAACTAGCACAGGATTCATGAAAGGATTAAAAAGGTCACTTAATGTTAACCTCAGTTTGGTTGTGCAATTTGCACATCAACATCGAATTGGTTAAGATTAGATGGTTACAAGAGCTATTTTGTTGCCAAGTGAAGGAGAACGCTTCAGGTAACATGTGGAATTTTTCAGTAAGATTTTTTTGTTTGGTTTTGTTTTGTTTGTTTGTTTTATCTTTAATGATATTTAAATAAAACAAGTTTAATAGTGATAATAAAGCCATTCTTTCTTCAAACAACCTCAAATATCAAAACTTGATGTGGTTGTTCCCATGATTCACTAACCAAAGCTATAAAAGATTGAAGATTTCCCCCCCCCACACACACACACACAGATGAAAATAAGTATTTTTGAAAACTAGCACCAAACCACACATTACTGATCTGCTAAAGTCAGGCCGCTTTGACAGGTTTCTGATGAGCTCAGAGCAACAACATATTGCCTTCACTTCATTCACTGAATTCTTTTACAACTATTTTTATTCTCGGTATTTTGAACACCAGCTAAGGGAAAGACATATGTCTAATACGATTCAGTGGATTACCAAAGGATTATAAATATCTGAAAAGATGCACATGAAAAAAACATGTTGCAAGAAAACCACAAAAGGCATCTGAGACACAGACTTCCTCATTACTGGCACAAAAAAAAAAAAGAAAGAAGACATTGTGTATCTAAGAGTAGAACAATTTTAATAGGCTTTGGAGGTGAAAATGAATGGTAATAAGATCTGATACTCCAGATCCCCTGCTGGAATTAATGGGCATCTGCTAGAGCTCACAGTTCAACTTGGACCAGGCGCTGCTTTATTTAAGAGTTAATCGTCAGAAGTTGGAAACTTCAAGGTGTTTTGAAGAACTATCCTTCAAAACAAGGAGGGGGAGGCTGTCTCACAGCTAGTGTATCTGCTATCTACCACTGCATTTACAACAAGGTAGAGGAAATCTGACATTGCAGAAAAGAATTGCTCCAGTGTGGAAATAATAATGGCTTTAAAGGAAAGCTGTGCAGAATCACAAATTATTTTTTAGCATCTGATATTGTTTTTGCATTTAATTCCACTGCGGCCTTGGAGTCCAACTGAACATGCACATTGCACACGCATTAAGACAACACACAATCAGGTTAATTACTATTCCATGTACAGAGTCCTTTGCATTTTTAGGAAATGCTTGCACTCAGTGATTCATCCCTATCTTCAAATCCCCTCTCCCCCCTTCTTACATCTTTCTCACCGTTTCCACTACTATCCATCTGAACCTGCTCTACCTTTCCTCGCTTCCCATTTTTTCACTTTATCCAATGCTCTCACCCTCAAACACACTTTTAACATCTCTCCCTCACTTCTGCTTTCTTCGTCTCATTTCTGTGGCTGAGCGGTGGGGGGGGGGGGGGGGGTGCATCCAGAAGTCTGTTCAATTACACCTGCTGCAGGATCCCTGCTAGGACGACTAATGGAACGCAGCATGTCTCCTGACAGGCTGGCCGCAGCACTAGCTAGCCCAGTAAAAAGCTTCAATTAGCTTCTCGCAGCTCGAAAAGTTAGCTAGACTAAGAAAAGTCATCATTTAACCACAAACACTGCAGCAACAGCAAGCCCAGGAAAAAAACATTAAATACTTATATTCTAAATCTGCTGTAATCTTTTTGTTGGAAACAGGAGGAAAAGACACTCGCTGCCACAGACCACTAATAAAACACTCCAATTTATCACCTAGTTTCTAAGCTGCTACCTTTATTTCACCCATAAATCCTTGTGGAAAACATTCCTTAACCCGAGGACCCTCAGTTCAGAATTTTAGATAAACACAGATTCATGACTTCTTACATCCTTCAGATGTTTGAACTGTGTTGATTTTTTATATATGTTTTTAAATCACAAATCTGCTGGCACAAGATTCACCATAACTGGTGGCCTGATGGCGACATGTCAGTTAATAAATAAATACATAATAATAATAATAATAATAATAATATTAATAATAATAATAATAATAATAATAATAAAGTATGTTGGGGACCCTGACTGGCTAACTGCTGGCCTGTTGGGGTCAGTGAAGGCTTTTTCAGTGATCATGTACTCTCACATATGAGAAGTGTTTTTTCTTACAGTCAGTATACCAATAAGTCCTACAACACACCAAATGTTCAGTTAGATTAAATGTGAAGAAAAGCTACTTTTCAGCTGCTCCAACCCACCACTGGTGCATTTTACACAACAGCAGCACAAACAAACTAAGAAATTGTTCAAATGAAAGCTGTCAAGATATGCAAATGAACTGCTTGTTTAGTTTGCCACAATCTTTAAATTTGGCTGACTTTTTGTAATGATTGCTGGAGCAGACAGCAGCTACCCCAGCCCAGCGATACACAAATCATGGGCGAGTCTAAAAAGGGGTATAGCATTTACTCCACTACATTTACTTTAAACCTTTAGTTACTTAATATTTGATCGATTTACCTTTATGACATAAAATTTTGTATTTCTTGTGTAGTATAGGGGAAAAATATTATGCTGGACACTGTAACACTTTAACACATTAACATAAATATTTCAACCACACAGACTGTTCTTCTGAGAACTACATTATCCAATATAATTGCTAAAAATGGACCACCCTTATAAACATTGTACAGCACTTTAATGAACTTACAAACTATTACAATAAATGTTTATTAAATTGTTTATTGATGTTTGTTACCTGGTGTCTGGAGTCTTTTGGATTGCAGATACTGATGTGTGCTTCCTCAGGCTTGCAGGTGATTCAGCAGGAGATGTGGCCATGTCCTTTGTGGGCCGTTTTAAATATTCTGAGGTCAAGAAAAGGATATATTTGCTTTTTTTATTAAAAATTTAACAAGGTATTTTAGTGATACATGAGAGTGCTAAAATATGTATTTCAAGTTAAACTGTTCCCCTGTCTCAAGCTAAACTGTGCAAACACTTTTTTGATTAATTGAAAATACAAGCTTACCACTGCCATTGTTCAGAGGATTAGGTACAGTTTCTGGATGCTTTTCATGCAAGCTCTGTCCTCCAGGATGTACTCCTGCATCATCACACACACTGTAGACAACATACAAAATGCATTAATGTTCCTTTCACATGTGTCTGGTTGGTGTGCAATATCTGTATATGCCAAAATTTGCTTTACCTGGAAGGTATATCTTGGTGCGAAGGATTCTGCACTTCTGTAACATCACTCCTAGTATTAGAGGAGCTGACCTCAGCTTGAGTAGCTGGTTGAAATCTAACAAAGATATAGCAAGTTAAAATAATCTGCAATGGTATAAACTGAAGTACAGAGGATGACACAAAATATGAAAAGACCAAGGATTGCAGACACGTAATGGATGTACCAAAGTAACTACCGTCAACAGCAGATACCGTTCTACCTTTTGTAATCAAGATGTGACTGCTGTAGTTGCTGATTCTGTCTCTGGAGCCTTTCCTCCTGCTCTGCCAGGCGTGCATGCAGCCTCTCTCTCTCCATCTCTAACTGCATCTTCTGCAGCAGCAGCTGGTGCCTCTTCTCCTCCCAGTCTTCCTGACCCAGCAGAGGCCTGGTCAGAGCTTCCTTGGCCCCAGAGTCCATGATATTCCCACTATGGAGCCTATGTGCAAATGCATGTTACATGCCATCTCCTTTGTGCCTTGCTAAAATTTTCAACATGAAAAACGGAAAGTAATGCTGGTATGGCTGAATACTGTACCTTTTACACTCATCTTGGTTAAAGGTATCATGGTGGCTCAGACGAGAGGAACTGTGAATTCTTTGCTGCTGTGTTCCACAGACAGTGCCTTGATCCCTGCATTCACAACACTCACATCTGTGGGATGAGTGTGGGCCCCTGCACTCTATTTTTTGACAATTATGCTGTATTACTGGCCCATGAGTTGGACTTATCGGTCCATCACAAGAAAGACAAGCAGTGCTCCTAAATGTCCGTACTGCTCCTCTTCTTCCATAACCATTCCTGTATGCTCGAGCTTGTGGTCCTCCAGTAGCAGCGTGACTGAGGTATGAGCCATCAAAGAGTGAGCTATTAGCTCTGCTTGTAGATGTCCTATTGGGGAGTTCCTCACTACTGTGCACCTGGACAGAGAACAAAGAGGACAATTAATGTATTTTGGCCCATTAAGGAAGCCTCTGAAAAACTGATGGGAGTTTTTCAGCCAAAACATTCGACTGCTCCATAAAACTTTAATTTAGAGCTGGCTGCAAAGCTGAAATTTACCAATACGGAATTAGGCCTCGCTTAGCAACCTAATTTGCTCGCGTTACTATGTGCCGTAAAAGCTCCCCATTTGCTTGCAAGAGCAATTTCACAAGAACTCACATTTCACTTGCACTCTATGTGAGCTGCTGCGACCCAAGGCATCTTTTTTGGTCTACTTCCTTCCATTTGTGCACATAATTACTGTGGCTGTGTACTGAGTTAAGAGATACCAAAGAACAGTTCATATAAAAGGTAGTAGGTGAGCACATGCTCTGTAGACACTGGTAATGAAAATGATATGATGATGACACTGATGATCCTCCTGTGCTAAAGTGGTGATTTCACCATGGACCTTGTATAGCTATAATATAAAAGGGATAAACCTGTGTTTTTCAGCTAAACACAAGTGACAGGTGAGCAAAGATCATGAACATTATGAGATAAACATAAGGAGAAAAGCCCATTTTATAGTAGACTGAGAAAGAGACTGACTAATTTGCTGAGGGTCAGAGAGCAGGCAAACACACATTATTCAGAGCCACTGCGGACAATGAGGTTGGCCAAGTCATCCATTCATACAGAGGCTGCAGCCAGAGAGGCATCTTCGCCTTTAAAGTGTCACCTTGAGAGAGTTTTTACTAGGTTGTAGTCATATTGAGGTAGTGACTGTGGACTGTAGTGATTTGTTATAAATTATTATGGCACTTGGCCATGGAACAATGCCTCTTGCATGTGTTTCCACTGGATTTTTTTGTATGTGACTGATGGCAAACAGGGCTATTGCCTGAATGTGGCTCCCATAGGAGAATGGCTGTCATTTTATTGTGCATTTTCCATTGCAATAGAAACATAAAAGGAAATGTGTGTACATATAACCTATAACACACACCACACACACACACAACCATTTTATCCCATATCTTACCTTGCTGTGACTTGATGGCTGGCTAAGCTGGGCAATGGACTGATTGAGCTTTGCCTGTTGCTGAGAAATGTATTGTTGGTAGAGCCCAAGCAGCTCCTGGCACTCTTTGTACTGCTGCTGCAGACCTGGAGGACCAAGGGTTAAGTAACTAACAAAGTAGAACAACAGCTAAACTGAAACAAAAGAAACCCTTAGAGTAAAACATAACCACCACCCCAGATTTGGCTGAGAAATCATGCAGAGGGTTCCATCAAATTGTGTGACTGAAAGAAATTGTGGCTTCACTATTTGATTCAAATAGGAAGGAGTTTTCATTTTCATTCAAAATAAATAAATAAATCTTACAAATCCCTAACGTGTAGCTCTTTGATGAGTTCAATTTTTGCTGAGAAGTAGTTTTAGTAAAAGAAAAGTTTCTCCTGTGCTACTTTGAAGATGCTGGATTTAGATCGACAATCTGAATTAAAACCTTGTTTCCGTAATCAATTACACATTGGACCAGAAAAGTAGAGAAAAGGCAAAGCTGAAAACAGAGACAGGGAAGAGTCCAGCAAAATCAAAGTTGTTGTTGTGGCACAGAGCTTTCACCATCTGGGCAGGGCCAAGCTGTTTTGAGCTGAGCTGGGCAATGCCACGCCAGGCTATCTGCCAGACAGAGAGCTGGCAGACACAAGAAAACTAATCTGGAGCGGGACTACTGCTGCGCCTCAGGAGCCCCACTAATGACAGTGGCAGCACCACACCACACCCGCACATACAAAGATAATGAGCATGAGAATGGAGAGACTGCACACAGACATACTCGCACACATTCAATAATCATTGTCAATCTGACTCTCTAGTACAAACATAAAAACAGCAAGACACGAGAGCACAAATTCCCCACCTGCACTGTAAACAGCCCGCACACAAACACTACAATAAAGCAAGTAGTACACACACTCCCACCCAAGCTGACCATAAAGTGTGTTCCTCTAGGCCATATCTTTTTATGATGGTGCCCCTGCTCCCCCAGCTGATGAGTTTCTCAGCATCCATTTGGAAAAGAAACCCTTATTTTAAAGAGAAAATCAAAGTTCAAAGAAGAGTCTTATTGAAGGAATAGTTGGCAGAACACTCCATAAGAAAACACTTTGGTTGTTAGAAGACTTCAATCAGGCTGTGGAAATGAGACACAGGGAAAGAGAAGAGAGCGGTGACGACTTTGAATTGAGGACCAGACACCAGACAAAAGCAATGCAACAGCTTCCATAAACACTAGAAAAATGCGAGGAAATGTTTTGATTGAACCCTCCGTCTAACTAGGGCTCCTCTACCGCCTCACTGATCTCCATGGAAGCAGTTCCATACACAGAACTTAAGGACATCACAAGGACATCACATCATGTAAACCTGTGTTGGGAGGTCTATTTATGCAGCATGAATAAAAGTCCTAAAGGGGAGATAGTGAACATGCTTATACAACTAAACCTCACTGCAATCCAAGGTAATGTGTGGTGTGTTCAGGGTTTTTTTTGGGGGGGGTTTTTTAAATGCATATTTTACCACAATATAAGGCAATTCCCACTTTATGTCGGCATACAAAGCAGAGACCACACGCAATCTAAAACACACAAGCAAAGTCCATCTGTGCTGAACACCCAAGCAGGCTGCAGCATCATATCATCCCAGTGCATAGATGAACATAACATGTGTTAATGTGTTGACAGGGTAATGCAGTCCCTGGATAGCAAGTGCTAGGTAATCTGAACCGAGTGGCGCAACACTGATAAGATTCCACTTCTCAGCCAGTCGCTACACTAAACATGCTTCCTCTACAGCCTTGGACATCAGCCAATGGGGGCCAAGCTCTCAGCAAGCCCCTAGTTTACATCAGAGCTGCAACGTGCCAACAATGACTTACTCCTCCCCCCTGCTCCAAAAATACTCCGAATCAAGGGCTTGGGTTGAAGAGGCTTCAGACGGGGTCTGTCAAAATGATTCACTTCCCTGTCAGGCCGAGGCTCAAATGAAATAATGAAATCCACTTCAAGGTGGAACAAATTTGCACAGGAGGGGGGAATATTTTAAAACCTGCTTTAGCACAGTGTGCCAAACAGATTGAGCCTGAGCTGGAATGTGAGAGGTATGGGGGCGGAGACGGATGTGTGAATATGTGTGAGAGTATGAATGTGTGTAAGGAAGAAATGGCGGGGAATTAATAGAAGGAGACGGTTTACATTACTGCTTCAATCCTGCTGAATCTGAAAAAGAGACATGAATGCCAAATCTCACAATAAACCAATACACAACTCCACACATCATCTTACAGTTATTTTAGAAAATGTCTGGAAATTTCCAAGAGTGAAGATGAAGAAAACCATTCTCAGGCATCTTCGAGACTCATTGATCAGAACTCTAAAGCAATAGCAGTTCTGAGGCACAGATGCACGACCTGGCATCAGTACAAACTGGCTGGTGGCTATGGAATATGTCAAATGGCACACCTACCAAAGCTTAAAACACACAAGGTCCATAAAAAAAATATTACATTTATTAAGCATTATTTATTTTACATTAGGCTCACAACTTGTTCCATTCACTTTTATTATACTCCTGCAGAAAGAATGGCTATATATTCAAATATAAAGCTGTCGTATTTACCCACTGGTAGGTAGTAATTTATTGTAAAGGACTACTGCACTACTTCCAAGAATAAAAGGTGAGTTACACAACAACAAGACCAAATCATCATAACCCCTAAAACATAACAAATTTTAATTTATCCAAAAACAAGCATTTGATGTATGCTTATCACAAAAAGCACACTTGATAAAATTAGATTTCCGCATTGTAAATGTCACACATCAAAACCTTTAAGGCCAGAAATGGATTTAGCACTCCTGTGATAGAGGAATGCCAATGCCAATGCATTCCTCTATCAAATGCCATTTTAGTAACACGCAGCAGAACTGTTGTGTCCCTCTCTCCATGGCCTCAGGATTCCCTCCAATTGTTTCAGCTCAATAAGTGGCATTACATGTAGCACCTGCTGTGCCTTGTTCTGGATACAGAAAGTAAAACAGTATACCATGTTACTAACGCCACCTTGACTTGTGCTCGTGCCAACATGCCCTGAAGTAAAAAAGCATCCTTTCTATCTGAAACACAAATTCAGCCCTGTGTGCCAGTCAGCTCCAAATGTCAGCTGAACATCCCAAATATCAAGGGTACTTTTCCTTCTCATCCTAGTTGGCTTGGGGCTAAGGTATAGTCCTACATTCTTTATACCCCTGACATCCCTGAATCTTGGTGAGATAAGATAAGCTAAGGCGTAATGGAATTAGACTTGACAAGACTCTCATTCAGTGTGTTTGCCTTTGGTGTCTCCTTAACCTTTCGGAGAAGTGCCGAAACCTTCTGCCTGAGAAGAGCCTTCGTGACTCTTGCACACACTTTAAAAGACTACGTTCTCCCCCCCCCGGAGGTGCTTGGATCCGAACACTTTTTCCTCTCAAATACCTTTTTAATGGAGTTTAGAAGTTTGGTGTAAATGCCAAGTCTCCAAGCCAAAGTGCCTTTAATTGAGTTGTGCTTTCCTAATTTTCCCCGCCGCCGTTGCCAATCGTGCAATTTACCAGCCGGGTCAATTACTCTTCATATTTCGCAGTGTTTTTAACCTAAATTGACTGCTGGCCATACTCTAGTTTGACCTGAGCAGAATTGTTATGAAGACAGCAGATTGGGGTGTAGCATTACAACTCTAGCACCGTTAGACATGTTAGACCAACAAGAATCAGCTGTTGACCTGTCTGATCTCATTTTCTACAGGAGAAACTGAGAGATATTCTCTAACACTGAATAGTATGGGAGGGTGACAAAAAAACATGGTAAAAAGCAAATACTGTGGTCTTCTCTGTGAATATGAAAATTCATCTTTGGATGATAAGATGGTTTAGATGGTTTAGGGCACGGCTCCAACCATGAAATTGATTCTGTACACAACAGCGGATAAGCTACAAGCACTCGCAAAAGACAACTGCAGCAGACATCAAGTAATATAAATTCATCTGCTCTACTTCTCTGCCTTTTGTATCAGATTGAAGGTTCTTGCCCAAAGACTGTAAATAGCCTTGCCTGAGACAACACTGCCCCCTGCAGACTTTCTTTTTGAACAGCACACACAATACAATCATATACAGTAAATACCATAATGAGCCACAAGGTGTTGGCTTTATGAAATGTCTTTTCTTAAATACATTTTACTTTTGGGGTTTTTTAAACATCAGCTTTAGCACAATAACTCCTTTTTGGTGTCTTTGCAGCAGCCTTATCACGTGAAGATGCATGTTCCAAAATAGTTTAAACAAACATCATTAAAGAAGGTCAAGTTGTCTGACAAACATTCAAACAGAACAAGATGAGCAGATCTGCTTTCACTGATTATAAACATAACCCAATGCAGCTCTCAAAAGAGCATCCACAGCCTTATCATTTCACTTAAAAAAAAAATAATTCACTTCATATGGCCCATTAGGAAAAGCAGGGCATTATACAATGCAGCTGTCTGCTTGCTTTGAAAGGATACTTTCCCTTTCCTGTGCTATGATTTGGTTCTGTTGTTCTAGCTGCTGAATCTTGCATTCAAAATTTCCCTGTTCATCTTTCAGACGCCGCACCGACTCTTCTTTCTCCTCGCTCACTCTAGAGAACAGGGAAACAAAAGACAATTTAAAAATAAAATTAAAAAAAGAAGGAAAACATATGAGGAGTTAATAAAATACATTTTAATTTCCATCACTATAAATTGTTAAATTCATAAAAGATAATAACGTTGGATACCTAGCCAGTTCTTCAATGAGATTTGCAATTCGTCGCTTATCTTCAGGACAAAGGTCTTTCAGACAGACCTCACTCTTTGCTTTGCTGACTTCAGAAATTACCTTTAAGAATATGAGAATAAGAGTTAAACATACAGATTTAATAATAAAGAGTAGCAGTACTGTTTCTATATACACTCACTGGCCACTATATTTAACAAATTCATCTGTTTGTTAGGTTCAGCCAATCATATGACAGCAATTTATGTAGTCTAGTTCAGCGGTCCCCAATCCCCGGGCCTCGGACCGGTACCGGTCCGTGAGTCGTTTGGTAACGGGCCGCGAGAGTTGAGGCTCAGGTGTGAAATGTATGGTTTTCAGGGTTTTTATCGGTTTTCAGCGTTATTTTGTTATCGTTTTTATCGTTAACTTGGTTTTCCTGGGTCTTTTCACGTGTGTTATGAATAAATCTTCTTTTTTCAGTACCAGTACTAGTTTTATTTTGTTGTATTTATCCGCGACACCTTAAAGGCCAGTCCGTGAAAATATTGTTGGGCGTAAACCGGTCCGTGGCACAAAAAAGGTTGGGGACCGCTGGTCTAGTTGACCTGCTTCATTTCAAACCATCAGATTGGACAATAGAAGATTTAAAAGCATTGCTTGGTCTAATGAGTATTGATTTCTTCTGTGGTATCCAGATGGTAGTCTGAGAATTTGGAGTAAATAACATTAAAGAATGAATCCATCCTGCATTGTATTAGCATGATGGCATTGGTGTAACACTAAAGTCTACCTGAGTATTAACCATGTCCATCTTTTTATGACCAGTGTACTATCTTCTGTCACATGACATGTCACAAAGCTCAAATAATCTCAAACTGATTTCATGAACATGATGAGGAGTTCACTACTCAAATAGCCCCAAAAGTCACCAGCTCACAATGCAAAAGAGCACCTTTGGGTTTTGGCGAACCTGGAGATTGACAATATTGATGTGCAAGTGGCAAATTTGAAGCAACTGTGTGATGCTAATACATCAATATGGACAAAAATCTTTAAGGAATCTTTCTAGCCCCTTGTTGAATTTATGCCACAAAGAATTAAGGCAGTTCAGAAGTCAAAAGGGTGTTCAACCTGATATTAGCAAAGCGTCACTAATGAAGTGGCCAGTGGGTTTATTTGAGACAAAAAAAAGCACTATACGAATTTAAATTCAGTGCATTACATATTGCCATTTAATCAAAAAAGTTCAGCCGCATGGGGAAAAAAAATCCTATGATACCTGTGAAACCGGAAGAAAAGTCTGAGGTGTCATCACAGCAACATTGTGGTGAACAGACACATCCTCCTTAGTATAAACCCCTGAGTGATCACTTTGGTTTTTGACTTCTCTCCTTTGCTTGGCCTGTTTTTTGCAGTCAGAAGTGCTCTTCACTCCCATCTTGTGGCCTCTTTTCTTGGATGTACTGGTACTGAGTGGTTTCAGGTTAAAAGGGGCCTGAGACTTCACTTCTCCGTCCACCCCTGAGGATGTTAAGAAGACAAAAATAAGAGCCACTCTATATAACGTTTTACTGTTTATCACTGGACTCACCAGGAATAAACACCAAAGGCCGTTCATCATCTGACACTGTGTGGGCATAACAAAAAGAGGATGGAGACACTCAAATTAAACAGCTGCAGATGGCTTTTACAGTGTTATTTTTGCTCTGTTCTGTATTGGGAGACCTAGCAGGACTAACTCAGTGTAAGAGGTAGCATGAATACCGTTATCATCAATAACAAACTATCCAAAATCAACTTGAAATAAGTGGTTAGGTGAGCAGTCTTTATCTTAACTATAATTAGCTACAAGCTCTCTCACTTCCTCAGAGAAAACAACTTTCTAGTACGGACGTAAAAGTAACACTATAACTCTACTTCGAAAAGCTTTATGTCTTCCTGTAAGATATATACAACTGTGAAGTGTTGGATAAGGCTAATGTAGCTCGATAAAAGTCAGCGTACCGCCATTCATCCAAAATATCCCCGAATTTTCACTTCTTTCCGCTGCTGCCGCCATGTTGAATCAACCGCCACCACTCCCAGGGAGCCAAGCGTTGCTAAGGAATAGATGTCCCGCCTTTCTCTTACAAGCAAAAATCTCATTGGTTGCGTTGTAGAAGGGTGGCTTTCTATTGGTGCAAATTCATGTCCGTTTTGCGTCCCTTCTCCCTCCGCTTGCGTCCGCAGATGAGCTATTTGGAGCAAGGGGAAGAATGCGCTACAGACATCTGCAAAGGATGCATTCTGGGTTTTGTACAAATTTGTGATCGCAATCACCCAAATGGAAGAAACAAAGGAGAGCTTCAAGATTGCCGATAGGCTGATGCTCGGTATCACTCGGATACTTGGTGTGTATGATTGTGATATGCATTGAGAGCGTTAGCTAGCAAAGCATTGAATTCTGTGAAAAAATAGATTGTAATAAATGTCATGAACTTGTCCTTGCTGGGACAGAGAACATGCCTGGGGTGGTCGACGTGCGTTTCGCAGAAAGAGAGCCTGCAGAGAAGAGGAGTTTGCTGTCATGGGAGCAGGTGGGAAGGAAGATGCATGGTAGATGTCAGATATTGATATGGCAGTACTGTATACTTTTGTCATGTGTTATTCATCTTTTGTGTTTATTTGCCAGAAAAACACATGTATATTACCAGAGGACCTGAGAGACTTCTATCTGACAACTGATAGCTTTACACTAACATGGAGCGTTAAACTAGACAGTAGGTGTCCTGATGTGTTCTGTCTGTATTCACAGTTTTCAAAAGAGAAAAAAAAGTCTGTTTTTATTTAAAATATTTTAAAGTAATGTTGTAAATTAGAATAGCAGCTTTTCTTATGTTCTTGGCACACAGCCCTCACTGTGTGGATGTGCTGTCTTTCAGGTGAGTGTGTTCCCTTAGGATGCATGATGATTAATAGTGTGGCCAGACTGTGCCCGCTGCTCCAGCCCGTGTCACTCTTCTCTCTGCCCAATGCGCCATCACTCGCTGACCTAGACTGGGAGGAGAGCGGCACAGAAAGTGGTAAATATTCACCTGCCGGATCCTCATGTGGGATCCTCAATTACAACACGTCACTTTCAATTACGTTTGTTTACAGTACGTGTGCTCAGTTGTGCAGAAAGCAGGCTAATGAATGAGCTCTTGATTGGACCGTAAATATTTATTCAAGATTCATTAATGCTATCTGTCAGGGTCGGCGCGTGTGCCCGTCGCACCTCATTTCGACTCCCGGAGCCGCATCTTCGAGCTGGATTCCTGTGGTGGGAATGGCAAAGTGTGCCTAGTCTACAAAAATTGCACTCCAGGTGCTCTGCTTGTGTATTGTATCTTATAGGTTATAAAATATATATATATATTTTTTTTTTTTTTTAATATTTTTTTTAAATCTGAGTTCCTTAAGTTAACAGCCTTGCTTTTTTTTCAGGTGTGGTTGCTCAGAGGAGTGAAATATGGTTTCTAGACCGCTCTCTGTGCTGGCATTTTCTGACCACAACCTTTACCTCTTACTACCGACTGATGATAACCCATCTGGGTCTGCCTGAGTGGCAGTATCACTTCACCCCATATGGCCCCAGCCCTCAGGCTAAGGTAGTCAAAGTGTCTAATCCTTTTTTTTTTCAGAATATGTGCTGTGACATAAATTGTATTTTTAATATTTATTCATATTATTAACAACATGTGAGGCCATTGCAGTTGTATGAATACATTTTATTCAGGATGATTCTTTCACAGTCTACTACAATACTGGCAAATGTAACATTTTAGTAAGTTAGCACAGCACTGAGTTTTAAGTTGCTTCCAGAGAGCATAATTATGTGCATAAGGTGCCATACATTCCACAGAATCAGATATAGCATTGCTGGCTCGGTTAGTAAATTAAGTAGTATTTTCAAAACACATTTGGTGTGGGTTTGTTTTTTTGTTTTTTTCCCCATGTGTTACATAGATTATGTTAAATTATGTATATCTTGGTTGCTGCTGCAGCAGTGGGCATCCCTCTACCAGCCTTTGACTTTCAACTGTGAGCTCAGTTTGGCGGATCCTGCTGGGGATTTATATCTGAACAAGCTGGATCCTTCCAAGGCTTTCAAAGGCAAAGCCAAGGTCCCAGCCCCCAAGAAGAAGCAGTCGACACAGTGCAACTCAGGGGGCGCAGCCAAGGGCCAAAGCAATGCAGGAAGACAAAGTGGAGCAAAGCGGTGAGAAGGTACCCGTACGATGAAGACATTTCCAAATGTCTCCAGTTCCCTCAGGAGCTGGACTCAGTTTGTTGGACTTGGTGCTGTTTGACATGTTTGCCAAGGCTGAGTTGATATGTAGCCAGGGTTGTTGCTGGCTAGACACATTGGAAAGGTGATACAGTTATAGTACTAAAAGTGTTGAAGGCAAAAAATGTTTCTAAATTTTATATGTTTGAGGAGACGATGGCAATTTCCATCACACCTGGCTTAGATGGTTAAAAATGAATCCCCCTCACATGTAGAAAGACACAATCCTGAATTTTATCCACCTTTGGATGCCAAGTGTTGCCAGAGTAATTAGTCTTTGAATTAACAGAGAGTTGTATCAGTGTATATTCAGTACTTATAAACTCATTTAAGGTAATGTTCACTACTGACAGCTTATGGTTAAAAAAAAATCATATAAAATCAAAGCAGACAGATGTACAATATAACTGTACCACTGCTGTAACCAGAACCAGAGTTTATAAGTGCTGCTGTTTTCAGTGGGCTTGATTTCTGAATGCATTATGTAAATTCTACATGCAGCATGTAATACTGTAAAGTGCGGAAATGGCTAGATAACACATCTCTTTATATTAATAACTTTAAACTTAAGGAAACAAGAAGACTTAATGTAATGCTGTGTAGCTCACACCCTATATGTATTGATAATTGACAGGTTGAAAACTAACGTATAGGACTCAACAGATGCTTTTAGAGCTTCATTATCAAACATTAAGCCACATAAGTGTGAAGACAAACGTGACCTGTTACATTATAAAAGGACTACTAACTGGCCATTGTACTACTGCAGTGCCTCATGAATGCTGCTCTGTAATGTAAACTTCAGAAATGAACACTGTTTCTAACGCAGATTATTCATCATGAGTGAATGAATATCAAAGGTATATTTTAACAGTTCAGGGCCACAGTTGTACAGCGGTTAGCACTGTCACCTCACAGCGAGGAAGGTCTCTGCGTTCAAATCCACAGAGTTTGCATGTTCTCCTGTGCCTGTGCGAGTTCTCACCAGATATTCTGGCTTCTTCCACAGACATTCACATCAGATTATCTGGTGACTCTAAACTGGTTGTAGGTTGTGAATGGTTATCTTGTGTTTGTTTCACATGATTTCTACTTTAAGTCTTCGCCACAGGTATGTCAAAACAACAAACCTCTATGAAAGCCAACAACGTAGTGCTTGCCCTAACCTGACGTGCGCCTCCCTTCATAAGCAACTATACTTCGCACCAGATGGTACGTTTAGTACCACTGATTCCTCTTATGCATGTCTGGCTACGTTTTTGTGGCTGGCACTGCATCTAATAGATCAGGACATGATCACACGCACAAGCCTGAATACCCGCAACAACATCAGTCGCATACGTAGGTAACCCCTGTCGACCCTACAAAGAATCACCAGAGAAGTTTAATTCAGCTAATACCCCTGCCACAGACCCCACCTACCGATTCTAAATTGGGTAAGCACTTAAGATAATGGCTCTTGTAACACAAATATAAAGCTCAGTAGACCCAATCTCACATCTACAGTTTTGGTTCAAGTACTTTTTAGTATGTACTTTTTGTCTGTAGGTTGCTGTGCACAAGAATGCTAGAAAGAAAAATGTCTGTATTTGGTTTTGTCGCTGTCCTTTCAAGCGGTGAGGAGTCATCTCCTACTGTGTGTTTGGTTTTCAAAAAAATATATGATCCCAGTGTATGGGGGCTGTTTGCTTCTCTTTGCACACCCTTAAGTTTTTCCACAGTTGTGGAAGTAGTCCCCTGTTGAGTGTTAAAGTGAATGATATTTATGTCTTCTAAGGTTACATAAGCTGCTATTGCAGTAATAAAAACAACATGAGTGAGCGAGTGTGGTTTTGTCAAATTTTCATCTCTAAAGTGACCGTATGTTTGTCTCAAACCTTTTTATTGTAGCGTATAGTAACGAGTACAGTGAGTCAAAATGTCTAATAGTGTATATTTTATATGTATTGTAGTCTATCATTTACACTAACTCTAGAAGAATAATTCAGGGATGGGCAATTAATTTTCCCAAGAGACCACAATTAGGGCCTAATTGTAACATCTACTCTTATCAGTAGCAGCTTATAAAGGAATAATTAATATTGAGCAGAACTGAGTTCATCTTATTGGTCCAGCCCTCCACAACAGTCTCAGTTTCCCATGTTGCCACTTGGGAAAATTAACTCACCACACCCAATTTAAGTTGATGTTGAAATTGTGTAAAACACAGTGAGCATTTTTGATTTGAACAAATCTTTATTTCACTCCCTGTTTGCTAATCATCCTCTGTCTCCCATCTAACAAGTTAGTTTTAGGCTTTTTAACCCTTTACCTTCATTGAATGTTGCATCTTCATAGAGCTATTCACTTAGCTGTCAACTTAGCTAGGGTGTCACACACACATATTTTCAATGGTATTTATCTCTTTATCCAGAGGGACAGCTTCTTCAACCATCTCTCCACCCGCTTCAGAGAGGTGTGGGTGATGCAGTTCCACAACAGCCTTGTATAGCCCTGCTCCAAGGACTCCTCCAATAGGGGGGGCAACTAGAGGCACCCACCACCATCCGTTTCCAGCCCTACACAGATAAAGGCAGCAAACCACAAAAAAGTAAATAGTTAATTAATAATGAAAAGTAGTTGGGGGGTTTTATTCTTGACTAATCCTTGATTAAGGTGGAAAAAGCAAAAGAAAATGATATGGCCTTTTTGTGTACCTGAACACATCAGATCCCCAGCCTGCCATGGCAGTGAAAACCCTGGGTGCGATGTCTCTGGTGGGGTTGATGGCATAGCCACTGTTGCTACCCAAAGAAATGCCAATGAGAAGCACCAGGAAACCCGCAAATGCAGGCTCACTTCCTGCTGGCGCTGGTTTGTTCTTCTGGTCGGATAGAGCCATAAGGCACAGTAGTAGCATCGCTGTGCCAAATACCTTCCCCAAACACACACATAGAACAAAAACATCAGTCTGGAAAGATAACCGTGTAGAAAGCCATCTAGTAAAGGAAATCATTCATGCTGATTATGTCTGATGATGGAGAGCTGTAACTATGAAGCTTTAGTTGACTTTCAGTGCTACCTGGTCAAAAAATCCAGCTATCAGAGAGAGGTATGGAGCAGGATAGGTGGCAAAGATACCAGCAGTGGCCTTCTCACCAGTCACAGTCAGGTTTCCTCTACAGTAGTCATAAATGGCTTCTGCAAACGTATCAAACAGATAAATCGTGATAGTTGTGTGACTCCAAGAAATCGCAGCAATACTTCAGTAACAGTGCCTCCAGATCTGTATGAGTTGTTTTCCATGTGGTTTTTATAATACTTTTTCTAGGACGTTTGGCGCTTAGGACACGTGATGGTGCAGTACAGCATGGTGGGCCTCTTCAAAATGTGTTCCACATGTGTAGATGCAGAAAAACATCAGATAAGCTTTAAATTTAAATCATGCATGGGCCGATTTCCTGAGACTTTGCTTCTTTGTTTTTGAACCTTCAAGTGACCTAGATACCTATTTTTTCTTTTTTAACATATACTGTTGCGTTTCCTCACCATAGTAGACAGCATAAATTGTCCCTGCTGCAAGAAATGACCCCAATAGCTGTGCCGAAATATAAAGAGGTAACATCTTCCACGGGAGGCGGCGAAACACACACATTGTGAATGATACAGCTCCATTCATATGAGCCCCTGAAACAGATCAAAAGAGCAAAATATGACTGCTGAACAACAATTGGAAAGCATTTCATAGGTTTTGATGTCATCATCTTTCATACCCGAGATCTTCCCTCCAACATGAGACCCCATGGCAACAGCCAGTCCAAAACCCAGGTTGATGCTGAGGTACTGTCCAAAAGCTCCCTGACCAGTCACTACCTGGGCCACAGACCCCAAGCCCAATGACTGGAGACAAAGAGAACCCATATATCATTTATGCAGTCAAACATAGAAACAGATTACAAGAAATACTTTCCAGGAAGCTTATTTCACAATATAAGAAATGTTTGAGGCAAACTGTGATTAAGTGCTGGCAGCCAGATTCTTTTGTAATCTACAATAGCAGTTTCTCACTGTAAAAAATCTTATAGTGTAACACTGTCAGCTGTTTGCTTGCTATTATTCTGCCACTTTAAATCTAATAGTAATGATTGTAAAACACCTGTAAAATATCTCAATTTACTGTAAATATTTGGCTGTAAAAACAAACTCATCCTGAGCTCCTTGTCTTTTTGACATATGACAAGATATCAGCTCATCACATGATTCTCCTACTCCTTGCACTGCAGATTTATATGAATGTCAGTTTATCAGCCACCACTACACTGAATGCTGCCAGGATGCGAGGAGTTGGACCACAGTTACAGTCTTGAAGCAACATAAACATAATTTCCTGTACAACTTTTCCCTCTCCAGCAATGGAATTGTCTAACAAAACATTTTAAAAAATCCTGTGCACCAGCTTGATATGATGTAGGGAAAGCCACTCAACAAATATATAATGTGCATCCAGAAAGTATTCACAGCCTTTGCAAAATATTTTGTTGAAGCACCTTTGGCTGCAATTACAGCCTCAAGCCTTTTGTTTTTGGTGAACCAGCACTCCTTATTCAACTTGGTGGAGCTTGAGATGCTCTACAGTCATTTTCAGACAGGTTCCTTCCCTCTGGCTGGGCTGCTTAAGGACATTTGCAGAGCTGTGCCAAAGCCGCTCCTTTGTCATCTTGGCTTTGTGCTTAGGGTCGTTGTCCTGCTGGAAGAGAGCTGCTTCGCCCAATCCAGTCCAGAGTTCTTGGGAGCACATTATCATCCAGGATGTCTCTGTATATTGCACATTCATTCATTCAAGTTCCTGCTGCTGAAAAACATCCCACAGCATGATGCTGCCACCATTTTACTACTGAGTTCAAATTTTATTTCATCAGACCAGAGGATTTGGTTTCTCATGGTATGAGAGTCCTTCAGGTGCTTTTTGGTATATCCCAGGTGGGCTGTCATTTGACTTTTACTGAGAAGTAGCTTCTGTCTGGTTACTACCACACTGGCCTGATTGGTGAAGTGCTACAGAAATGGTTGTACTTCTGGAAGGTTTTCCTCTCTCTACAGAGCAACACTGGAGCTCTGTCAGAGTGACCATTGGGTTCTTCATTAGCTTCCTAACTATGGCTATTCCAAAATGGAATAACCTGGAGCCAGATAATTGAGGCTCTGTGCCTTGAAACTGTCCTGTCTCAGAGGTCTCCAGACAATTTCTTGGACATCATGGCTTGGTTTTTGCTCTGACATGCACTGTCAGCTGTGGGACATCATACAAACAGGTGTGTGCCTCTCCAAATCACATCCAGTTGGCTGACTTTACCACAGGTGGAAGTTGTCAAAACACCAGTGGAACATCAGAGGCTCAGTGGACACTCAATTTTGAGTGTCACAACAAAATGTGGTGAATACTTATGTACATGTTATAGTTTTGCTTTTTTATTTTTATATCTATTTATAAACATTTCAATATTTTTTTACCTTTGTCATTATGAAGTATTGTGTTTTGAATTTTTTAGGTGAAAAATGAATTGAATCCATTTTGAAATATCACTGTAACATGACAAAAATGTGGAAGCGTTGTGAATACTTTCTGGATGTAAACAAGAAGCACTCAGAGTTTAAACCTCCACAACGCAGCTCACTCTCTGGGCAGAATTTACTTTTAAGAGAATGGTATAATTCAGTTTATTTTCTTTGTTCGCACACATTTTTGTTCTCACATGTTTTAAATCTGTATACGGTACTATATGTTCACAATACACATCACACTTGTAAGCGTCATAGTTTCTAAGTTATGAGGTTTTTTTGTAACTTTTCAACCGATGAATAATTTAAGTCTCCTAGAAGGCTTTAGTGAATGTAAGCCAAATTTTAATGGCATGTTAACATGACCTTATCTACACGCCTAGAAAGTGTTATCAGAATTGAGCTGTCTTGCTTATAGACAGATTGACACGCACCCAAATGCTACCAAAAGAATAACCTCTCTGACGGAGGTAAGTAGCAAAAAGTTACGTTTTTCGGGAGGTTTTTTTTGGTTGTTTGTTTTAATTATTTCTAGGAGTACCTTCGTTTCTAAACATACTGTATAAGTAACATTTTCTTTCTTACTTAAAAGTTAAAAGGCTGAGTTGCACAATTAATTTTCATTTTAATTATGGTACTGCACAAATGTAAAAGACACCACACTACTGAATTATCTTGCTTTTAACTCAAGCGGCTATGTTATCAGGGTAAAAAAAATGCTGACACTGAAAAACTGTAGCCATTCTATCAGGAAACAGGAAAAGTCTGGTTCCCCCAACAAAGTCACGAGTATTTAGTTTCTGTCAGGATTCCGAATCACAAACACAGTAAGTGCAATTCTTTTGTGCTCACATTCAGGCATTTATGCTTCCCATGTTCATCATGTTATAACTGCATGTGTTTTTCTTCCAGGCTTCTAAGTAAAAGGTTTATTGTAACAGCTGACAGCTGACAGCTGACGTGTGACTTCTGGAAACCTCTTCAGCTGGCTTGCTGCCTGACTATTACTCTATAATAATACTAGACTCTCAGGTTCATTCACTGAACCTGACAATGTGACTGTTAATAGTGCTTATGTGTGTGTGTGTGTATTTGGGAGAATGTTGCAACTTATCAGGATAAAGAGCACGACATTAATGATTAATAGCATATGGGTGCTACAGATAAGCAATTAGATTCTAAACAGAAAGAAGACCCGATAAATGAAAAGTCAAAATGTCAGCGGAATCATGGATTTGAGAGGTGCTTTTAGTTTTTAATGAGATATTACATATTATTATTTGAAAGCATATGACAGTTCAGAAATCTTGTGATAATACTGTATTCTTACCATCATGACATATGTGCTAAGTGATTCAGCAAGTCCCACACGAATGAGTTCATTCTTTAGCCAAACTTTGGATCGAGTTACTTTACCTCCCTTCTGCTGAAACACCCTGGGTTTTACTGACTGCACCAAGTCCTTCATTTCTTCTTCTTCTACTTTTTCTTCCTCTTCTTCTTTCCTTCCAACCTCAGGACTTTTTTTTACCCTTTTTGAATGAGAAAAAAAAAACTACACATTCAGCCTCGGTTGAAAAATTTATGAAGTGTCTGGCACACAGTACTTTGCAAACAAGACCAACTTTTTGTCTCCTGACCTCAAAAGTTCCCCTTTTTCCACTCACTTACCTAATTGTGTTTCTCAGTCTCTCTTTGTCACTCACATTCATTGGAAGTTGTCCACAATTTAAAGGCTTCAACACACTCTCACCCACCTCCACCCCCTTCTTCTCTCCCCTCCTCCTGGAAATGGCCAAAGATACAGTGACACACACCCTGCTGTGCTTGATTATCTGTCCAATTTGTCATAATAAAAACACTTTAAATACATCTGTGGAGTACTTTATTCAGAAGTGAAACTCATTACAAGTTAACTTACTAAAAGGCTGAATAAGATGGGTTTTTTTTTTTTTTATATTATTATTTATGGCTTTTACAGCAACAAAAAGCTACCTTGAAATTATTATGTAGACTTTTTTTAATTGTTCCATGTTGTTTTGTGCACATGTTCTGTATACTTCTGATTATATGAAATGCACTTTACATCTACACTTACACTTCGCACCTTACATTACTGAAGTGGGGTCAAAACAGCATAAACTATTGGTTGAAGCAAGGCTGCTACAGTAACACACTATCTGGACTTCACAGTAGCATTACAAAGTCCATACATGCTTTTTCTCTCCTAAATAAGCAAAAGAAACACAACAACAAAAACTGAAAAGTAGATTACGATGGCTACAACTTTGGAAGTTTGTAGGTGATAAAAGTTGATCAATACACACAAACAATTTCCAGCTGCAAAATCTGATTTTCACCAATACTAGTTACTTCAGTATAAGTGTCGTATTTATTGATTTCAGCTGTTTCAGATTTGTTTATTTTATTGATCGCACAAAAAAGGGCAATTCAGCGCACAGCTTGCTCACACAGTCATAAACAACCTAACCAAACCTGAGTCTGTAGTAAATGACGTGACAGTGTGGACTGCCATGAAATTTTATATTCATGTTCCCTGAAAAGTTAATTGTAATGTCTTTGATCTTTGAAAATAATGCTACGTTTGTTCAATCTTAGTATGCTTAAATGTGCACTCAGCCTGACTAATGATGTTTATAGTTTAGGGCTGCAATGATTCATTGCATAATTCAAATAACTCAATGAAAAAAAATGTAAAAAAAAGTCCTCGAGGCAAATTTTTCGACGCTTCGTTTAAATTCTATATAAACGTTTCACCCACATTTGGGAATAAAATAGACCTGCGATAAACACGTATTTAGGAGCATGTATGTGAATACAAATTTTGACAACAATAAGCCCAGGCAGGCCCTGGTTTTTAAAAAGAAATACTGATAATATGCAGAAGAACTGTTAATTTAGTCTGATACCATGATTAAATTAGCCCACTTTCTATCACTGTGGCCCGTGACACCAGCAACAAACAGGGGTGAGTCTAAAGGGGGGCATGGGTTGTCTGCAGATTGTGTCAGAGCTCTGTGTGCGGGCAGGCGGAAACCATAGCTTTATTGCTGGCGATAAACAAAACATGAACTGAAAACAGGCCGCTGAAAACAGAAACACACAGGCACATTCTGAGGGTACGATTCGGCAGAGAGCAAAGGCAAACACAGGGGAGTAATCAGGGAGTGGAAAACAGGAGGGAGACACAGCTGGGAGGGATTAGGGCTAACGAGACTGGGAGCGAAGCTAGACACACTGACATCAGCCATAACCCTTCAAAATAAAACAGGAAACAATTCACAAAGACACAGACTAAGAAATGCAGACTTACACAGAGGGAACACACGGGCAGAAAAAACTAAGCACAGAACTAAACCTAAACTAAACATGAGGGCATAAGAACTAAACCCTAAACTGGAATAAGCTGGAACATAGAATAATAATAATAATCAACACAGGATAGCTAAAGAATCAGAACATAAATTATAATACAGAAGAATACCAAAAACATAAGAAACAGAAAATGCTGGATCAGAATGACCCAGAACCGGGACAGATTGTTCAAAATGCTGCTGCTAGGCTTCTGACCAAAACATCTAAGTACTCACATGTGACCCACTTATTATTTAGCATACAAGGCTGAGACCTAAGGGAGACAGAGCTGTTGCCACTGTGTCTCCTTGACTGTGCAACTCTCTCCCACTGAGCATAAGATCTGTGGACTCAGTAGTCTCTTTTAAACAACAACTAAAAACACATCTTTTTAGAATTGCATTGCATTAACTTTTGTCTGTTTTTGTTTTATAATTCGTTATGTCTGTGTGAAGCACTTTGTGATCTTTTATCCATAATTTCACGGTCTGGCTGGCAGACCGTGGGGATATGGGGGAATGAGGACCCAAAACGCATGGTTCTGCGATTCAAACAGTGCACTTTATTTACAGTGAAGGCTGTAAACACAATAACTCCCCGTTGCTCCCTTGAATCCCATGTGTGTGCTCCCCACTGTTGTGTTCTCGCACACCATGTGCGTGCTGCCGTTCTGGTCCACTCTTCCACCTGGGGGGAAAACCACAAAAACAGCCATCAACACCAACCCCAGCGGGCATACACGAACTGCACCGTCGTACGCTGACACACACTAACTTGGGTAGACAACTCAATGATCCCACACCGGTGGGAGCTCCAACACTCTCCTAAGTAGCTCCCCCGACAAGCCCTGACCACCAACAGATGTGTGGCAGGAACTTCAGGTGTGGCCAGTCCTCCTGCAGGGCCACACCCATCAGGCCTGCATGTGGCTGTTCTCCATCCTCCAGCCACACATGTACACACCCCTGCCTCTACATATAATGAGTGGAACACCGAACAACACAGAATAGTACAGAACAACACACATCCCCAAATAACAACACTACTACTACTACTAATAATAATAATAATAATAATAATAATAACGATAATAACGGTCCATCCTGCTTAAGGACCCCCCGAGTCCTCCAGAGCCGGGTCCATGACACATAAAGGTGCTATATAAATAAAACTTTACTTACTTACTTAGTAGACCCTGTACTTGACTGTACTTGAGATTATTTATTTCATTTGGAATTTAAGAACATTTTTTCTTTAAAAAAATTAATTTGACAGATGTTGTTTAAGCAGTTAAACTTAAAAAAAAATGCAATTCCTAAAATAGAAACCAATGAGTAGTTCATTCTGAAAGACCTATTTTTCTCTTTTGAATATTTATTATTGCACATTAATAAAACAAAGGCATTTTCTTATCAGATTCCTCGATTAATCAATGGAATAATTGCTAGAATACTCGATTACTAAAATAATTAATGGCTACAGCCTTCAAAATAAGACAAAGTTCATCCTTATAATGGCTCTGGATTGGTACACTTTATTGTAGAATATCTTAGTTAGCTAATGTTTAAATATTTAATAGCTCTTGGGGTTTTTTCACAGTGGCACTGAGAGGCCAAACAGACTGCAACTTAAGAAAACACCAGCATATATGTTGAGGTAAGTTGATTTATAGTGTTATATCATATTTTATAAGGATTTTATGTGTTTGTATCATCTCTGTTCACTCCTGTCAGACTCATTTAGCAAAAATCATCCTGTTTAAGGTTCAGTTTTCCTCTGTTCTATATGAATTAAGACAGTTATGATATGGCATGATTATACTCACAAATTAAAGGAATATTTAATATACCAGTCTACTTATTTTATCAGAAACATGCAATTTACAGCTTTGTTAATCGCATGGTTGCCGGTTTGAGCCCCGGCTCCGACAGTCTCGGTCGTTGTGTTCTTGGGCAAAACACTTCACCCATTGCCAAACTGGTGGTGGTCAGAGGGCCCGGTGGCGCCAGTGTCCGGCAGCCTCGCCTCTGTCAGTGCGCACCAGGGCTGTGGCTACAATGTAGCTTGCCATCACCAGTGTGTGAATGGGTGTGTGAATGGGTGGATGACTGAATGTAGTATAAAGCGCTTTGGGGTCCTTAGGGACTAAGTAAAGCGCTATACAAATACAGGCCATTTACCATTTACTTGGCATGTGTGTTAAACTAAAGCATCACACAGTATCAAGGGAAGTAGGGAGTAAATTTAAAAGAAAAGGCTGTTTTTGCTATTATCTATTGTTTGCTGTTGTTCCTATGGTAATTTACTCTTGGCATCCTGAGGGAGTTTATGCAGTTGGTAGTCTATGGCTGTTAAATATTTCAGTAGGATGAGGGTTAAATTGTAACTTTAGTTACTTTGTGTTCTGTTGATAAGATACCTGGACTAGGAACTGTAAGGTATTCATAAGACTTAATGGGCCTCTCGGCCTGGGGCTCGGTCACTCAGGCACGGCTGGCTGCCGGCGGAGCTCACGGGCGCGTCACTGCAACTCCCCCTGGCTTCTGCTCCGCGGCTGCTGAGTGAGCCCTCATCTGGGACTCTCCTCAGCTCTTTCTGGGACAGTGGCGCGGCTGCCCCTCTGTTGGTCTTCCTTGGTCTCTTGTGTTCTGGGGGCCTCTGGATGTCTGGAGTTTTGATCTCCTCCATACCTGCTTCATGCCCTGGAGGACGGGGCTGTGGCCCCCCCACACCCTCTAGCAGATCATTACATGAAGGAACCTTTTAAAAAAAAAACAAGCGCGTCCATGCTCACAGGTGTACACACGGGTGATCACACCCACAAACTACACCCTTTTTGGCTCCTACCTCAAAGCACACTGTGTTCTGTTGATCTTATGTGCTGCACAATAATGTTTAACATTTAGTATTTACTGTCATATTCCCATATATCATTGTGATGTTGTTTATTCTATTACTCTTGTTCTCTTCTGCTTGCTTTCTTTTTTCTTTCTCAGCAGGTGATCCAGGTGATTGATATATGCATTTTTTTTTCTCTGCCCGTTCTGTTGGTTTTTGTCTTTTGCCCTTCTCCCCCGTCCCTCTTCTCAGCTGTTTCTCTTTCCCTCTTTCTTTCTCCCCTTCTTTCCCCCAGTCAAGTCTGTCCCGTATTCAGTAAGTGAAAATAAAATAAACAATAAAAGGTGAATCAAATGGACCATTATGGCAAGGCTGGGATGGTCAATTTGGTAAAGTAAATCCGTTGGGCATCTTTCTTTGCCTTTAGACAACAATTCTGATGGCAAAAGAGCCAAACGGGACAGAAAAAAACTGTAAGGTATTCATAAGACTTAACGGGACACCAGAACAAGCTAAAGTAATTGTTGTCAGAGACATTGCAGATCTTGAGAGATTTAAACAAA